TTACAAAACAACACCAGACTTTCATCAAAAATCATTTATTTGAAAAAAAAAACACAGCGTTGTCCACAATGAGGAAAACTCGACAAAATAAAAAATAAAACAATAAAAAATAAATAGAAATAATAATAATTTTAAAAAAAGATGACCGATGTCCTGTCCGCTGTGATGAACACCCGCCGCAGAATGGCATTTTGACAGATGCCGGCAACTTATAAACATATGGGCGGAGCTAGCATGGCTCACCTGTACAGTTGTAACAGGTGAGCCATGATTGGGCCAGAGTCATCATGACTTTGCCCAATCAAGGCTCTCACAGTTCTCTGTGCCCTGATTGGGCAAAGTCTTGCACCTAACATGTGGTTAGGTGTAAGCCTTTAGCCAATTAAGGCTTCAAAATGTGCATTGCCTTGTGGGGCGTTCATCAGGGGAACAGCCCGCCGAACGCCCTGACCGCTCGTGTGTTTGGCTTGAACATCGAGCCCAACTCTAGTAGTACTGCAGAACATATCGTGCTTACCTCACATCCCCAATATTAGCCAAGCCAGCACATTTAATAGGATATTTCAATCCAGAATAAATCTTCCCTTCCCCCATGTTCTAACTTTGACCCAGCCAACTTCCATTGGGTCAAGGACTTGTCCATCTTCAACCTCCCTTCAATTGACCCCTTCCAGGACCTCTTAGTTAGCAACAAGCTCTTCTTCGAGTTCTTTGTGCTTCTCAATGTTGCAAGCTGTTAATGTACCCAGGATGGGCAATACACTCATACCTAGCACAGCAATATTCACCCTTTTATGGCTGTTCCAAGAGTGCATGCTTTGCACAAATTCACACAGGGCAGCCTTATCAAACACAGACCCCTAAAAAGTCACCTATACAGGGAAGTCAATTTAGAGCAAGTAAGAAATAGGGGTAGTAAATAAGGTTTGTGTGCCTTTTTATTATTTTGCTTAAACTTCAAAACTGCAAACTAAATGATCTAGCCATGAAAACTTTGATATGACACCTTATACTTTGAAGCTGCTTTAAAATAAACTTCTCTCAACTTATTTTTTTTAATTTTGTATATGATAAGTGCTAAATTCTCTAGAACAAATACAGTATGTCACACAACTCATTAATATAACAAAATGTAACATCAGAAATAACTGTCCAAAAAGTTGTTTTTTTGTGGCATGAAGGTAAATTAATGTTTTTAGAAAAAAAAATCAGGTATTTTTAGTAAAAATTGGCTAATTCTAGTTGGAGCTGAAAAAATAACTCGCCACAAATCTGTCATTGAGTTGTTCCTTGTTTGCTCTTATAGGTCACATTTGATTTATCACAATTAGCCTAACTTATCAATTTACGGGGGTTGATTTACTAAAGGCAAATAGGCTGTTCACTTTGCTAGAGAATTTTCACTTCGCATGGGGACGTTTCCCATTAGTTTGGTGAATGAGTTGAAGCTCTGCTGACTCCCATCACCCAATCATGTGCATGCAGAAATTCTGGCTTTATTTTATTTGTCTTGCATGTGATTGGTTATTTTTTGCGAAGTTAAATTTCACCAAACTAAGAAAACCTTCCCCTGCAATGTACAAATTCCATTTCAAAGTGAACAGCCTATTTGCCTTTAGTGAATCACTAGGTGAACTATTGTGTATTATGTATCCTGTCCTGCCCACAGCAGATCTCCTTCGGCATTAACAATGTAGCAGTAAGAGAGGGAGATTATGATTGGGTGCTACACTCAACACAAGACTGTCTGATATAATCATTCAATCAGATACATTGATAAATGAGACACAGTAAATCCATATGTATAGTCTAAAGTAGGTTATCTTTAGTACTAACAAGACAATGAAAGCTGGAAATGTTTTAGTACATTCTACAGTGTAAAACAAACATACCTTATTAGTGCCCAGAGTCCTTTTCTGTACTCTTGCTGCATTATTACTCCCCTCTCCCATCTCTTCAAGGACTACTTTGCTTTTTCTCCATCTTCTTGATCTTTTCTCAACATCAACATGAGTTTTCTCAGGTTCACTGCTGTCTGAGTATTCCATACTAATGGACTGAGGGTTAAAATTGATATCCATCTTTCCATACATGTCTTCTTTATGCGTCTGCTCGCTAGGAACTTTTCTACTTGGCCAAAGGGACTTGGAGGACAACCTATTCTCCTTCATAGAATTCACTGATGAGGTTTCTGAGTCAGAATACATAGTTTCGGTATTTGTAAACAATCCAGATGATGGGGAAGTTACAGACTGATAATAATCATTGCCACATGCCCATTCCGTGTTATACTGAGAGTCTGTGTAGCAAGAATCATCTGACAACTGCCTTGTTCTCCGTCGGTAGGCACTGAGTGCTAAACTCCAGTCGACTTCTTCATCACTGTCTGAACCCATCTCATCATAAGCTGAGACTACATTTGACTCATTCTCTAAAGATTTGAACACTTGACTCTTTGGCTGAGCAAGCAATCTTGGTGGAGGCAATGTTATACTTTGTAGAGCTACCCAATTGCCATCTGAACTTTGCAGAACTGGAGATGGACCTATAGAAAAAAATTAAAAATAAATATATTTTTTTTCTGCAGCAGGGAGAAGATAAGCATTTCCTCTTTCCTCAGTCTCCCAGTGATCACGTACTGGGACTGTCTATTTATAAAAAAAAAACTTCCATAACTATTCATGCATACTGCATATTGCATGTACATTTTTTCTGTGCAAATTGACTTGCTTTGGTAAAAATGAGGCAAAATCAAATGTTCTATTTTACCTTCTGTTTGAATATTATGGGCAGTATTAAAAATAGGTTAATTCATATAGAACATAGTGTGAATCGGGAAAGTACCACATTATGGCGACTAGAAGGAGATGAGGATTATAGGAAATAATTACATCTTAGTAACAAAAGATGCAATGTAACAATTCTAAAGAAGACCGAAGGGAATGGGCAAATAATGTATCCATTGTTACTAAGGGGAATGAGGAACAAATGTACATGCAGTTTCGCTGTACAATGTATGACCATGACATCATCCTATTCAATGCAGATATGCTGTTCCAGCATTGTATGGAATAAAGTCAGAGAGTTGCAACCAGTTGAGCAATGAAGAGAACTGACAGGTCATACAGCACGGTAAAAGACTGCAGGAGTGATTAATATGGTAAATATATTACATTGTGCATTATCCCCAGGCAATATGAGCAGTTAACCCTTGGGGGTGTGGAGGAGACTCTACTGCAAGACTAATGTATATATTTTTTTGTTCTGAGTTCAGCTTTAAACATAAAATTAATCCTAAATCATTATCGTTGTAGTTTACCTTTAAGCTACAAAAGCACATACATCCATCTTATTTATCAGCCCCTCTTACTACTTTCTACCTTCCATATCAATCATCATTAAACATATGAAAACATTGCTTATATATTTTTCCTGCAATACAATGTAGGTTTGTCTTGGTATGAACAATGCAGTTTGCTGCCAATGATGTTACCTCACAGTGTTCCTAAAAGTGCTTACTGAATAAACCACAGGATTCTTCAATAGAGCAAAACCTGCAAATAATGTATATTGAGAACAGAGATAAACATAGATTACTTGAGTCATAAAGACTGTCCACACTCTTCCAACTTGGCAGCGTAGAAGGTCTGTGTTCTTTCAGTCTTCTCTTGTGACTTCTCTGCGACTGACACCGTGACTCTGGTGTGCTGGATTTACCTTCTGCGTTGCTACTTTCTGCATCTTCATTCATCAAGGAAAATGCTGAATGAGATCTCTAGTGAAAAAAGTGAAACAGTAGCGAATTTCAAGTCACACAGTATAGAAGATTTAAACAGGAGAGAAACACATGACATCATACTGGCGAGCTTAAAATAAAACATTGCGTAGGATTTGTGTCAATGGGCAAATTCAATTTGCTTTCAGATGCCTTTAGTTTGCATTTGGGATTCTTTAATTAGGTATTTAAATGAGACCAATTAAGTATTTATATAACATCAACAATTTATGCAGTGCCTTCAATACTGTAAATTTACTGCTCTCAAGGATCTCACAATCTGAGGCCCCTATCTCGCATGTATACACATACTAGGAGCCAATTTACCTACCAGCGTGACTTGTGTGTGGGAGGAAACCGACGCAAGCATGGGGAGAACGTGCACAGTCCATGCCAATAGAGTCCTGACTAGGACTCAAACCAGGGACCCCCAGTTCTGGGAGGCAGAACTGCTAACCACTAAGCCATTGTGCTGCCCTATTCAGAGATTATTGACAGGTGCAGTTGGTCTTCTGAATCTCCCTTTAAGCTACATTAACCTGCATCCGAATTGCTGTTGTATTTCCACTGACTACTATGGTCAGGCCCATACTCATAAATTACCTTAAACAAGGGGTCTCAAAGTACCGGCCCCGGGTCAATTGTGGCCCGCAAACCGGTACCATGTGGCCCGCAGCCAGCTGACAAGTCAGACACGTGGTCATGAACCACGTTCCTGATTTGCGGGTGAAGCTATATGGTCTGCATCTCTGTCAAATGCAGACCGCGTAGCTGCTCCTGTCAGCACTGGCACTCACTAGTTTCTTTCAGCCGGAGCTCTGACAGATCTGAGCTGCGGCCGAAAGGATGGATTAGTAAGATCTGCACCAGAGCTTGCTAATCAACTGCTAGATCACCAGGGATTGTGCCTCCTCCCTCCAAGAGCGTAAGCAGGTGAGGGGGCTCTTTATTTTATTTTATATGTCTGTGTGTGGGTGGGGTTGCATTATTGTGCATGTGTGTATTGCACTATAGGTGACAGCTGGTGCTTGTAAACGGCAGATTTGGGATTCCCGCTGCAAGAAAAAAGCAAGTTCCTGATGCAGGAATCCCTAATTGCACCTATATATACAGGTGTGAATGGGGCCCTATTGTCAGGCCCGGATTTCCCACAAGGCCACCGAGGCCCGGCCTCGGGGTGGCAGAGTGCCGAGGGGTGGCATCGGTGACCTTGTGGGGAAGTTGCGGGCGCCGGTGTGTGGTGTCCCAGTGGGCGGAGTCCCGCCGCCGGCCAATCATGTCACGGCAGGCCGCAACTCCTCCCCCC